GGGTGAGGAGTGTGAATATGAAATCTTGGATTGTGACGAGACCGCTTGCGGAGAGGACAATGATAACTGCGAGGATGTTTAGTTGTCGGAAGGAGAAGAATCCGGCGGTTTTTCCGGTAACTGTTGAGGTTTGAGCGGCATGATGATCTTCTTCTTTTGGTAAGGCTATGTCGTTGTAAGTCGGACCGACACCTCCAGACATAGTGTTTGGGTTTCGTGTTCGTGTAAGGATTTTTCTTGTGAAAATTAAGTGAGAAAGTTTTGGGTGGAGAGGAAGGGAGATAAAAGAGAGCGAAGAAGTAGACACGTGGCGGAATGAAAAGAGCAAGAATGGGAAGAGGTTTAAAGACGTGGAGGATTCGCAGAACCGGTGTTTTTCTTGTCTATTGTCCTCAGTCCTCACAACTATTTATATTTTTTTAACTTAAGATAAGAGAGATGATTATTCTTTAAATTGGACGAAGAATTCATTTATCTAAGGAGAGGATCAAAATTAGCTATTTGAAAACAAAGGATGGTGAAATAGAAAATCAATTTTATTTTGCACACAAATCTAAAGGAAGACCTCAAAAGGCATTATCATGACTAGAGACCGACATTTTTAAACATAACCAGTGGTTTTTACTTGGTGTAACGGGCTCAGGTAAATACACTGGGATACCGACCAAGCGTATAATCAGAGGAGAGACGTGCCAATGGCTGCAAAATAGAGTTTCAGATAACTTAACTACTTTCTTTCTATAAGACTTCTGTACCAGGATGAAAAAAAAAAAAAGAGATGGTCCAATTGGTGTTGGCTTATCGGGTCATAGTGGGCTCGGATGACAATGGCTCCTAATCCTTCCACCGTCAAGAACGGGAGGTGGACGCTGGCTCTGTGAAACCAGCCTCACGCAATCTCCTCCACTCTAGAAGACAAGTAACCCGAGCCTTCGCTCAAGCCCCATGTCTTAACTCCCAACTTGGAATGGGCGAGCCAGTATATAGCCCAACCCAAACCCGGCCCAATGAGATCAACCCAACATTCCATCACTTTGTTATCTCCATTTGGATCACAAGCCCACTTTACTAACCTCGACATACTTTTGATGTCAACTTTGCTATTATATACAACAAAGAAAAACTTTGTTCTTTCGATGTGGGACAAATGACTTTAACTTATTAAACGTCTTCCTTAAGGAATGGAGTTTGAGTTTGAGTTTGTTTCGAAGAAGGAAAAATCAGAAAATGTAAAGGCGTGATAGGCAAAATGGAGTAGGGAGGAGTAGCTGAAAGCAGCTGAAGCGGGAGCCGAGAGCGGAAACTGGGAGTCGAGAGCGGAAGCTGGGAGTCGGGAGCGGTAGCTGGAGTCGGGAACGGAAGTTGAAGCTGGGAGTCGGGAGCGGTAGCTGGAGTCGGGAACGGAAGTTGAAGCTGAGAGCCGAAGCTGACAGCGTTGACTTAAAATAATTTTTATATTAAAAAAATGAAACGAATTCGTTTATTAAAACATTAACTAAAACGACGACATTATTATATAAAAAGTTTTAAAGTAGATAAAAAACAAAAATTAAAATAGTTTATCTGCGAGACCTCCATATCTGCGCTACAATGTTGTTTCGAACACTTGCCATGTATGCA